TGCACTATTTCCTTCTCTTACAGGAATTTCATCTGTCTTTGAGGGGCCAGCCTCACTGCCCTTCCAGTCTTTCCTTACATCTAACTCATATCACTCCTGCTGCAATAGAAACGAGCAGTTGGGCTTTGGGAGCATGTAGATACAGTTATTTCTCATTTTTATTTTTTCTTCTAAGAAGGGGTTGACCAGCGTTTTCTGAAAAGAGCTGGGCAGTATGTGTTTTAGGGTCTGCAGACCAAATGATCTATGTTGCAGATAAGCTCTGCTCCTTCAACACATAAGCAGCCAGAGACCACAGGTAAACAAATGAGCATTGCTGTGTTCCCATAAAGCTTCAAGAGCAAGGGCTGAGCTGCATTTGGCCCATGGGGTGGAGTTCACTGACCCCTGTTCTCAGCAAACCAACTCCCCCTCTGTTACTTCCCAGTGCACACAAGCAGCTCCTTCCATCTGCAGCAGATCTTATGGGCTTCTCCACTCACACAGAGAGCTTCTGTCTACTTCTCTACCAACTTGTGAGCATCCTGAGGGCAGGTCCAGGCCTCATTTGACTCTGCACCCCTGGATAGCACATGGAACTTGACAGAAATGCACACAACACCCAGTCTTATTCTCAAAGTACTTACAGGTTAGTGAGGAAAATATTCTCAACACAGGGATACAAAACAGAGTGACAGGAGGAAGGGAAAGGGGGGAGGAACCAGGAGAATGTACCTCCTATAGACCCAATAGTGACCTTTAAAAAACTTAAGGAAACAAGAAAAACTTAAGTACTTAATTAATCCTGATACCCTAAAGCACTCACTGAAAAACAAATAAACAAACAAGCACAACTGATGCTCTAGAAAACACTGTGGTGGCTTCTCTGCAAAAAAAAACAGCATAAATATACCATAAGACCCAGCAATTCAACTCCTAGGAATCTACCTAAGAGAAAAGACAGATTGTGTCTACATGAAGTTTTATGCACAAAGGTCCACGACAGCATTGTTCATAATAGTTTCAAACCAGAAGCCACCCAAATGTCCATCAACTGACGAATGGATAGATACAATATGGTGTAGCTCTTTCCATGGAATACCATCCAGCAGTAAAAGGAACTACAACGTGGATGAACCTCGAAACATGCAAGGCAAGTCACCAGATTTAAAAATGAGTCCATTTATAGGAAGTGCCCAGAGATGGCAAACTGATGGTGACAGCAGCCTGAGGGATGGGGATGGGAGCAGGACAAATGGTAAATGGACATAGGGGACGTGGTAGGTGATGCAGATGTTCAGCTCCAGCAGCATGGTGATGTGACATCTCCCTGCATTTACTAAAATCACAGAATTATACACTTGTAATTATATGCTTGCAATTTTATGGTGTGCAAATTATATCTCCATAAAGCTGTTACAAATAACAAACTAGAACCTGGTGCAAACCATTCTTCTATCCAGGGCCGGGAGATGCTGCACCAAGGGAGGGAGATGAAAATGTTCACTCTTGCTCTAATACATCTAAAGTGACTTTCCCTTGATTCATGTTTCAATCCCACTCAGTTTTAACATCCAGTAACAGCAGAATCCTAAGCACCAGAATCCTAAGAGGACAGATGAAAAAACAGCATCAGAAGGGGAAAGCAGCTCACTTAAGGGTCCACAGCTACTGAGTGGCAGGGCTGGGACTGGAACTCCATTATGCCTGATTCCAGAACCCGTGTTCTTTGCCAAGTTATTTGCTACCTATCCCTCTACCTGCCCTCTGCCTCTACCAACACTTTGGCCCCAGGAAGCAAAGCCTGGTGCTATTGGCACATGGACCAAGAATGCCTTAGCTCCCTTATCTTCCGTAGCAAAGATGGACCTGCAGGTAGCACCATGTGCCCTCTGCTCCCCTCACCAGTGGGCAGAGGCCTTTACTCATTTAAGTAGCACATTTTGGTCAAGCAATGCTGAACACATGGTGGCATCAGTTTGTCTCTGGAGCACCCAGTGCAAACACCCATCTGGAGGATCCTGGGGTTCAGAAAGCCAGGACTAGAGATGCCCTCAGGTTCAGCTGCATAGGAGGGAGGGGACTCTGCCCGGCCTTGGGCACCAGGAGGCAGAGCATTTCCTCTTCTCTGGTCCCCTTCACCCCAGGTAACCTGAGCTCCTGCTACCTCTCAGACAGGCCAGGCCCATGCCAGTGTCCAGGCTCTTTCAAGACCTGTTCTCTTTACTTGGAACACTGTTGCCTGGACACCAGTCTTGTTCCTTCCATAAGCTTCTTCAGGCCTTTGTGCAAATATCACCCTCTCAGTGAGCCCCTCACCCAGCCACCCCATTTTAAGTTGCAATCTCTCACCCCAGCACTGCTTTCCCTGCTCCTGTTTTATTTTTCTTCATGGCTTCTATCACCTCCTGACACCCCATGTATTTTTCCTTTGCCCAGCTTCCCTGCAGGATGTAAGCCTTGTGCAGAAAGGGCATTCTACCTGTCTGGTTCTCTATCTGTAGGGGCCAGAACAGAGTCAGGCAGGTGGTACATAGCAATGATCTTTCCAGAAGGAATTAACAGTCTATGAACAGCATGTCTGCAACTACCACCCAATGTCAAAGAGCAGAGGGGGTCTCTCAGAGCCTAGAGGTAACTACCCAAACCTGCTTTGAAGAGAGAGGAGCCAGTGGAGGAGAAACAGGTAAGGAACAAGTCAGGGGCCCCATGGCCCCATGGAGGAGGCAGCATCGACTCATTTTGTCCATCTCCCCCGCCGCACACACACCTCCCCACCGGGGAGTTGCTTGTCTATCCTGTCTCGCCCTCTTGGCCATCTTCTAGGGAGGCCTTCTAAAATCTAGGCTGTATAACACCTCAGGTTGTCACCTAAGGAAGGATAAGAATGGGGCAGGTGTAGATTCTGGGATGTCTCATTCCCTAGGCATTCTAAGATGATGTTCAAGTGCTTGGGTAAAGGATGAAGCCCACATAGGGCATGGCCAGAGCAAAGACATGGTCTGTGACTTGCTGGCACACGGCCTAAACCTGACTTGCCTGGGCCTGGCTCTCTCAACTTGGAGCTGTTCCTTGCCCAGGTCCTCTAGCTTCATGTCCCTCTCCTTGTGATTGGATCTGTTGAGCCCAGTCATATTGACAGGCTTTACACTGCAAGCCTGTGGACACCCAGAGATGAGAGCAGATGCCTGCTATGGTAGCTGGAGACAGTGGCTGACAGATTCTCTATAGAACTTATGATTCTGCCCATTATAAACTGGAATACTTCCCCAAGCTGAGGGAAGCAGGGGGTGAACAAACACAGGCATTACAAGCACAGAAGAGCCAGGCAAGTTGGCTTTGAATTCCAGTCCTGCTGTTCAGCACCGGGTAATCTGAGGCAATCTCTTCACCTCTCTGGGCCTCAGTCTCCTCATCTATCAAATGGGATAAGCACTGTGTTCATTGATGGCTGTGAGGACAGAGCATAGCAAAAGCTCAAAACAAATTAGATCTGGTTGTCGCTGCTGTTATAAAAGAAGGGAGGAAGAGTTGACCCCTAGCGACTCAGGCTGCTCAGGCTGGCTGAAGATTTCCAAGGTGGTCGGAGCCCTGAGGCAGTGGAATTTGCTGGTAATTAAGGGACTAGAAATCCAGCCTTTCTCCTTTGGGTTTCAGAATGATGTAGGCTCAAGAACACCAGCTTGATGGAAACTTCTCAGTGACCATGGGAATTATTCCAAAGAGCGCCTGTCTGGGCTGAGAGTATGACTCTGGAAAGGAGGAAATGGGACCCCAAAGCCACTAAGTCCCCAAGTTTATAATTAACAGACAAGCATTGGCTCTGTCTGTTCTGGAGCCCTGTGGCTCACTAGGGAAGGGCACTGTAGTCACACAAAAATAACCCCCCAGTGGGTTTTTGATGTGTTCAGCCTCTTTGTTTTTCTGAATTTTAATGATGGGCTCTCCAGGCAGGATAAGAGAAGCACTCTGGCTCCCTTTGGCCCAGGAGTGGGTCTTGTTAGCTGCAGCAGCCTGCATGGGCAGAGCCAAAGTAGCAGCTAGGAGAGGCTGGCAGGGAGAGGGCCCTGTCCTCAGTCAAGGCGTCTTGGGGAGAAAGCAAAAACAAAAACAAGAGGCATCTCTGTTTGGGGAAGAGGTGGGGCTCTGCTGGGATCTCAGCCCATGGCGGAAGAGGTCACAGACCAGCAGCTGCTCACAGAAGGGTCAGAAGCTCCTAAAGGCAGGGTGAGAACAAGGGGTTCAGTTCCCTAAGGCACTGTGTCTGTGGCAGTCTCAGGGCTGCAAGGCTCGCTGCTCCCAAAGAAAACTGGCAAGGAGGCTCTGGGAAACTGTGGCAGAAGGGAATGGGTGGTGCGGGCAGAGGGGAGAAAGGAAAGTGCTGTCCCAACAGCCCTGCCGGGAAGGACAAGGGGTCAATGATCATGTTCACAGCTGACTGCTCAGCTCCAGATGCCTGGAAGCACAGCTTCACTAGCAACACTGTTGGCACTAAGGGCCACAGTCATAAAGGCATTGCATCAGTCCTCCTATGCCCCAACGGGCAACTGTCTGTGCCCTCCTGCAGCCCTGCTTCCAAGTCTCCTCCTCCAGGGAACTGCTGTGGCTTCCTGAAAAGTGACAACTACCAGTAGGAGCACCCATCCTCCTCCTCCTGCATCAAACTTTCCCTGGTGCTCTTCAACTATGGGGAGCTCAGTGCTCCCATTAGGTTATTTAAAAGCTGCCCTTCTGCCGGGAATGGTGGGGCATGGTGGTGCCGGGCTTGGTGGTGCACCAGCAGAGCCCCATCCCTTCCACAAAGTTGCTATAATAAATAGCATTCGGGAAGCTGAGGCAGGAAATCAAAAGTTCACTTGAGGCCAACCTGGGATACAAAGGGAGATCTTGTCTCAAAAACAAACAAAAAGTTGCCCTCCTTCACTAGTAATGAATCTTTCCAAAAGGGTACTAGAAAGAAATGGAAGACGTGCCCACAGAATAAAGCCATTTATTGCATTTGAATGATCCAATGTGGCCTACTGAAAATAAGTATTTTTTATTACAAAATATTCCATATAAAAATTCTAAGCTGCTTTCAAGCTCCCTTGGTTTTATACTTATTGCATTTATTCAAGTCCAATGCAGAGGTTCTGGGTTCAGGTGGGCTGGGGTGGTCCTTCAGGGTCTTCCTCCTCTGCCTGCAGCAGGTCCCATTCGGTGAGGAGCTCAGAGGACACCTCGGTGTAGAGATGGTCCCAGTCCCAGCCTACATCATCCTGCCAAGAGGAATATCTCTGGGTAAGATGAAGAAAAGCTTCCCCCTTGATTGCAGTCAACTTCCCACGCCATCTGGGCCCCAGGGAGGTGCAGACCAGCCTGGGGAGCCTGCTGGCTGTAGGAGTGATGAGGGTGAGTGGGGAGCTGCTATTTACCTCTCGCACTTCATGTTCTGGCGCAAGCACTTTAGTGAGGAGCTTCAGGTCAATCTCGCCATCCTGTGAATGCACAAAAAGTAAGCTGGGGCCCTCAAGGGCATCGGTAACTATCTCTCACAAAATAAGGGGAGGAGCTATGTGTGTTAGAACTCCCAACACTCAGATCCACAGGGATGTCTGACCAAAGAGTAAAACCATGAGTGGACCACGTGCCACTGAAAAAGGAGGGAAGGCTACAAGGTCCCTCATGCTGGGCACGCTTTGGGGAGAAAGGCAACACCAAATCCACAGGGTGGAAGGCAACAGAGTGGCCACTGGGTGTCAAGTTGCAGCCAGGGAGCAGGTGAGAGCCTGTTTCTGGGAATCCCTGGAATATGGTGGGTCCAGGGATGCTGTGTGATGCCCACGGATAATGCCTCCAGCAGAGATATGGTTGCCAGGCAGTCTCGGGGGCATAGACAAGGTATGCACAGCTTTGGAGGACTGAGAACTCTTTCCACAGAGGCTGCCTAGAGCTCACCGCTCTAAGCACAAGTCATTCTACTCACCAAGGTCTGAAAGGCAGAGTACTTCATGAGGTCATTGTCCAGGTCACGATAGGTCATCACCCGGTTTACCTGGATGCTGAAGGAAAAGACCATGTGAGAAGGAGACAGGCAGGACTGGTTTTGGCTGAGCTACTGGGCTACATCCCCAGAACCCTGAATACAGACAAAATGTCCTAACAGAGTGGGAATAGTACAATGGAGCCCATCACCAGAAAGATCTGGATCCACACTGCAGTCGGCAAGTTCTACCATAGAAGGTACGTAGAGTGTAGTAGTCATGTGTTCTCTGCTTCCTTGCCAATTTCACACTTAACAACCTACCTTGGAGGGGATGCCACCTGCAAAATAAAGTCTTCTTCCTGGACATCTTCCAGATCCGGAATGATGGGAATATCTGCAATGAGAGATGAGGCACATCTGTTCGCAGCACACTCAGGGACCCTGCCCGCTTTTCCACTTGTTACTCACCTTCAACACGCCAGCCATGGCTGGGGACTGTGTTTGAATTGACGCTCAGACCCACCTCTGGCCTCTTGGCGCACCGAACTAGGGGTGCACATTAGAATCAAAGGTGGAACTTCAGCAATTTCTGAACCCCAGAACCTACTGAAGGAGAACCTCCTGGTGGGGCTCAGGCACCTGTATCTTCCAGAAAGATTTCTCCAGTGGATTCTGAGGCATGTGCCTGGTTAGCCATGGAGTGGATCTCCACAAAGACATGTAAAGGATGAGAAGGAACTCCCAGCACTGGGAGGTGGGCTTATATTAGGGCAGAAGAAAGAGGGGGAGGAACTGATGAATGGGCCTGGCGTGGTGAGAGACAGAACTGAAGATGTAAAGTCATTAGAGTGCCACCTGCTCATGATCAAGACCTGCACATGGTTAGCCTTTGAAAGCAATTGTCCAGTCCTGGTCACGGTGTTTTACCTCTAGCTGAAAGACATTTTACACCGAATGATACAACTTAGCTCCTCAACATTACCTCACTTGCCGGGTCTGATAGAACACAGTGCTGATTCCAAGCACCACACTTCTCTCGCGGTCTCATGGAGGTTTTCCTTTTTTGAACTCTCCAGACATGATTCCAAACACGTGCAGAGACATAAGGCCATTTCTTCCATCAGTCTCATGTCAGGGAACAGGGAAACTGAGAGACAGCATGTCACTTCATTGTGGCTACTTAAGCAACTTGCCATCTTCTCATTGGGACAAACCAACACCCTAAAGAAACACTCCTCCAAATGAGTGTCCCTGCCTAGTTGAGGGGTTTTGTTTTAATCAATCAAAGAAAGAAAATTAAGAGGTGGGGTAGGAAAAAAGGCCACATGGGTGGGATTGAGTTGATTCGGGGTTTCCAAATAAACCACAAAAACAAAAGGTAGAAAAATCCCAGCGAGGAGACTGGACCCTTCGTTTCTGCTTCCATGGACTGAACTCAGTATTATTTCTAAATAAGGCACAAAAATCACTCCAAGAACAGCTGGGAAGGCTCTTGCCACTTATAGCCTATTCATTATTTAGACTTTCAGAGTGCTCTGGTCAAGCTAAGCCATAGTATATAAATGTCGGTCCAAGCCTGGTGTCTTTATTATTTGACTGCAGACTCACAGATGTGCCTGGAAAGACAGAGAGAGGGGGGAAGGGGCAGGAGGAGACACAGAAAATAAAATGTGAGAGAAAGACAGGCAGAGAAAGAAATAGTGAAAAGGGATAAAAATAAAGTGCTGATGGGGGAAATAAAGAAGTCACATACACCACCCCCAAAATAATGAGGCACACTGCAAGTCCTACATCTAGAAAGAAGCTGTTCAAAGCTTAAATTCGATCTTCCTGTCCTGCTAGAGAATTAGGGATGGAATTCACTGAGATTCCATTTCTTATGCTAATAGAAATTTAGCTTTCTTTTCTACTGTCCTTCTCAGTGATTAATACAGTCCATTGTATAGGCTGCTGACAATGCCGCTCACTCCCTAAGCCCAGGGCAAGTGTGGCTCCGACTGTGAGACAGGTACGGATCCTGCACAGGGACTGGGAGAAAGCTGGCTGTGCCACATGCTATCGGCAGTGTGACAGTTTTGGAGTGAGCCAGTTAGCTCACTGTTGGCTCTCCTTGGGGCATGGAGTCCAGCCTGAGATGAATATTCAGAAGTTGGTAAGAAAATACCCCATGCTGAGTTTGGGGCTCAGGAAGGGGTCTCCCCAAACTCCCCTTTCTCTCTACAACTTTAGCATTTGGGTCCTGTCAACTCTGCCCAGTGTCTTCAAGCTCAGAGGAATTGCACTTCTGCCCAATGTCCACTCTCACTTCCCATGGGTTTCCCTCTTGCTCCCTACCCCCTCCTCCAAATGTGCACAAAAGAGCGTGGGGCTGGCCCATCTGTGACAGATCAGAGGTCAGTGCAGGCCTTGGCAAGGGGGCTGCTCAGAGTGGCACTGGTGGGGCTGGCCACACAGTGGGATTTCTCTCTAATTGGAAGCCTGGTGGCCAGAAGAACCCAGTGAACCGCCTGAGTGGGACAGAGCCAGCGATGACAGCCAGGCCAAGGCAAGCTGGAACATTCCGGTGCAGTGACAGCTTGAGCCATCGCAGCAGAGGCAGGCCATCCAATTCCCAGCCCCCAGTGGAACAGGTGGCTGTGGAGCAGGTTTTGGGCAAACTTCAAAGAACTTCACAATTTTACAGTTTCTGATTTACAATCACAGTGCTTGCTTATGTGTACATAATATGTTTTGGAGAACTGTTTTTCTCTTTCTCTCCTTCCCTTCCCCCAACCTGTCCTGTCACATATACTATGAATAAACCTAGGAAAAAGAAAATGGACTTCAGAACCTGCTTCTGCACCTGCAGAGATGTACCCTGCACACACAGCCTGGTCACCCAGTCTCACTCAGGCTACCCTAGAGCAGAGTTCTAACACAGACAGAGAGGAAGAGAGGAGTTGGTTTGTTACTATTAAGAAGCTAAAACTATTTTTGTTTTTATTTATCTGCAGTGCTGGGAACCGAACCAAGGGCTTTGCATGTTAGGCAAGAGCTCAACCACTGCGCTACATTCCCAGTCCATCTACCACTATTTTAAGATCCAATCATGATGTCTATTTTGTCCTCCTTTTCTTCCCTGTAGCTATTACTTGAAGAACACTGGCAGCAGGAGTGAGGGATGCAGCATAGTGTGTAGAACTGCTGCTCAGTAGGCAAGAGCACAGGCCCAGCAAGCAGGTCCAAATGCTGGCTCGCTCCACCACGTCTTGTGTGGCTTCATCCCCTTTGTGCCTCAGTTTGTTCACCCCTAAAATGAACACCATTATTACCCCTGCTTTGTACTTTATCATTAAGTACAGACTGTAAAACTTCATAAAATACTAAGCACTGTGCTCACTACATAATACTCAGTAACAATTCTTATTCATTGAATAGATACTATAATATTGAGCATGCAGAAAACTATGTGGGCCTACCTTCATTTTCTCATTTAATTCTACCCAGTGATGATCATTTTTCAGAAGAGAACATGGAGGCAAAGCAAGATTAAGCAGCTTGAGCGAGGTGAAACCATTAATAATGGACACAGCCAGGCATCCCAGGCAGCTGTGGTGGCTCTCGCCCACCCCTTTCTTTTCAAATATAAAATGCTGTGAGGACATCTCCTCCAGTAGAGGGCTCAGACGCTGACTACAGTTGGACAGCATTCTTTTTTGCCTAAGACTGAATGTTCTGTTCCTGGTATTTCTCTACATAAGTAAGCTAAGTCCCTTTCTCCATCAAATGCCCTAACTTGCTACTGTCCTCAAGGCCACATGGAACAGAATGGTAAAAGTACACCCACACCAGAGAACCCAGAGACTCTACCCCATCACCAAGTCTCACTAAACTAGCTCCAAGGAGGATGAGGTGGCTGGGTAAACTCCAACAGCTCAGAGAAGGGGTAAGGGGAAGGACAGCTGTGGTGGCTGCAGTGCCCTCTCATCCCTCATCTTCTGTTCAGTGCTGTGGCACAGGCAGAGCCATTTCACACATGGCATCTGCTGTGTGGCCCCAGCTCAGACCAAAGGGTCCTTAAACTAAAGGGTCCTTCTGTGCTTTGGGTGTTCTCTCCCTGCCTGTTAGCCACCTCACAAGCTGTTCAAGATGCTCTTCTGCCTCACGTGGTGTCTAGCTAGCCACACTGTTGGAATCCCCATTTGTTCCTTCGTTTACTCACTCATTTATTCATTTGAGGAGTGCTGACTGAGCTCCCACCACATTTGCTTTGTGGTGCCTATAATAGCAGCAAATAAAGAGATTTGGTCCTGGGCTCCATGGAACACCAGTCACATGGAGGATAATAAACGAAAGTAAACGTCCTGCTTACAAATTCAAACATGAACTAGGAGAGAAACTAACTGGATTAAGTCTGTGACAGCTAAAACCAGGGAGACTTAATTGCTTTATTTTTCTAAAGTAAAAGCAGCTATAGGTATTACAAATTCAAACACTGCAGAAAAGTTTAACATGGAGATTTCCCTTCCTTCTATGAGTTCCAGTGATCTCCCTACAGGCAGTTAATTCCTTGTACATATTTACTTAGAAGAACTTATGTATATCTCTGCGCATCTGTCCTTTTAAAAATGTTTGCAAATAGGGCCATGTTATATGTGCTGTTCTGCAACTTCTGTCCTTACATCCACCGATATCTGTGACCACCTACTATTCTACTGCACGAATGCTCCATAATGCATTTAACCCAGTCCAGTGCAGATATAATTTAGAATCTGCAGCACGGGATGAGGAGTTAGGGAGCTCTCTCTGATTGAGGGACAGAGCAGCTGCAAACTGAAGGAGAAGCAGGACTAAGCC